ACACACACACACACACACACACACACACACACACACACACACACACATGTGCACGCCAGGTGTTTGCATGTTGAGATGCCGCCTGGGTCAGTACCAGCCTGGCAGCTCGGTGAGGATTAGGCACTGCACAGGGCAGCCATCATCTGTTCCCAGCTATCCCAAAGGTTTGGGTCCCCAGGCCCCAGCCTCTTCCTTTTGGAGACACCGCAGGGGGCTGCAGGAAGCCGACAATAGGCTCTCCTTCCCTCCCTCCCTCAGTATCCTCCCGTGTCTATTCTTCTCTGCAGATGTCTGTGGCTTTCTGGAGTAAAATCAGGCCACGGTCCCACAGCACTGCCTGCACGGGGATGCAGTGTGAGCTGGGACCCTGGCTGGCACTCCCACAGGGCCCGCCCTCCTAGGAAAGCTGAGAGGCTCCTATCCCACCCAAGGACATATCTAGTTACACCACAGCCCCAGCCACCAGGCCCCAAGGGTAAAGGTAGACCAAGGCACAGGCCGGCTGGTGGTCTCCTGCTTTATTAGCCAGCACCCCCGACTCAATCCTCATGCGGGCAGCCGCTGAGCTGGGTTGCTGATGGGAAGGGACAGGAGTGTGGCAGCAGTGTGGACTTACACCAGAAGAAGATGAGCACGTGCGTGACGGCGGTGAGCAGGGCACGGCTCAGGCGGCAGCCGATGCCCATCCGGGGCCGGGCGGACTCCAGGCAGACCACTTTGTCCACTGTTGTCACCAGCTCAGATGGGTCTTCCCCTTTCAGCCTGAACAGGACATGGGCTGTGAAGGCGCTGTGGTCTAAGCCCCACTTCAGCCCGGAGGCGAGAGAACGGGGAGGAGGGGCTGGTTTCCACTTGCTCAGAGCAGCCTGCTACCCCAGTTGTGCTCTTTCCTGCAATTTCCCACACTGGCTACTTAGCCAGAACGAAGCTTTAAAGATGGCAGCAAGCTTGAACCCCTGCCGCTGAAGTGGCGTCCCCCTCTGCCGGGTCTTTGACAGCCGCTCTCAGCATGCACAAGATTAAGCTGTAAATTGGATTCCCACCTCCCAGCATAGAGAAATGGAAATGTTTACTGAGCTCCCGGCTTTGCAAGTGTGTGGCAACAACTGAAGACAGAACCTGGGAGGCTGCACTGTGCTTCCGAGAGGAGCAGACACAAGAGCTGTTTAAGTGTAAAGATATGGCAGCACCCATGGCAACTGGGCATCACCGGGCTGTCAGAGGCCAGAACCCTGCCGCCATGCCTCCAGCCGCACGGCCAGTGAGGCAATGCCAGGCTCTTCAGGGACGCCATGCCCACACCATTCTCTCTGCAGTGGCTGCTATGTGATGCCCCGTTTTCAACACGCTGGCTGTCTGAGCTTGCTCGGCCCCCTCCCAGCTGCCTTCCCCGGCAGGAAAAGGCAAGTGTCATCATTCTTTGGTGCTGGCAGCTCCAGTGAGTGCTGTGCAGGGGAGCATCCGTATTCTCCTCTGCCTTTCCCAACGCACGAAAACCATTCAGCTGCTCAGGGCAGCTGTTTTTAAGCCATCGGATCTTAATCGTGCCATGCATCCAGTTACCGAGCTTTAGGCCAAGCTGCCCCAGGGGCTGCGCTGGATGCACTGTGATGGAATTAGTAATTTGGGTGGATTAGAGAAGAAGAGAACAAACCCCAGAGTGTGTGCTAATATCAGGAGCTGGAACCGGAACAGATATTCTGACAAAGAGCTATGGAAGGGACTGTGGTCCCGATCCTTCCATAGGGCGTCTCCAGGGCTGCTTGGACACCCCCCCCAATAAAGGTGGGGGGCTGCTCTCTCTGCTAACAGTGTTTGCCAGCTTGAAAACTCGGGGAAAGTGTCTGGTCAGAACAGAACCTGGCACCTCATCTCCACACTGAGTAAACCAATACACAGAAGCACCTCACCTAAAAAGGACAAGTCGCACCCTGGGAAATCACCCCCAGTGAGTTAGCAGGAGACAGCCCCTCGAGGGAGGACTGGCAGGGCCGCTCTCCAGGCTGCAGCCTGAATGTGGCTGCCCTCTGCTGTCTGGCTCCACGCCTCGGGTAAGTGAGTGGGTGAGGACAGTGGCAGTCCAGCCTCCTGGGACAAGTGCCTGCACTTACCAGATGCCCACGTCCTTGTTGCTGCTCAGTATCCAGGTCAGTGCAGCCTCAAACCTTGCAGAGGGGCTGCTGGTCACATTCTATGGGGTGGAAGATGGGGGTTAGCTCTGCCCCAGGGGCCGCTGCCAGGACTTCGTTCAGAGGTTTGATTGCCAAAGCCTTCTCCTGTGCCCCCCCTCCCCCGAATGCCCCATGTATGCAAACAGGCAAGGAGGGCAAGCTGGGCCAAAACACAGCAGGAAAACAATGCAGGACTGAGGAGACAAGAGAGGCATTACGCAAAGGCTGAAGCAGCAGCAGCACAGGCACAGCTGGCACCAGCGCCAGGGCTGGGGTGGGATGACCAATCCCAGCTCTGTGGCCTCAGAAACTCTCGGCCTCCTCCAAACCTTGGTTTCCTCGTCTATGACATGAATGGAACTACACAGCCCTCAGGACCCTGCCAGCCCTGAAGCTATATAAGTCTACCACAGAGAGGCACAAAGAAAGGCAAGCAGAGGCTGAGGATCCGAAAGGGGTCACAAGGGCCAGGAGACAAGGGCAGAGCAGATGTGCCTCCCACTGCTTGGGGGAGCAGGGAGAGCAAACGGAGATGGGGCAGGCCTGAGGACCCCGTGAGGTCCCCAGAAGAAGGGGCTGCCTGCCATAGCCGTTCAGCTGGTGAAGGGGCCTCAGCTTGGACTAGATAGGCTGCCCAGTCTCAGCAGGGTGAGTCCCTGGGGCACAGTCCCCTCCACAGTAGCCCAACACGCCACTGAATTTAAAAGAAAGAAATCCAAAAGCCACAAAGCAAACACAAAACAAAGGGGCAGAAAAATAAAAAAGAAAAAGAAAAGAAACCCCATAGGGCTGGACAAATCAATAGGAGGCGGCAGCGTTGCAGGCAGGGACCAGCCTGCAGCCTACTCACAGCTATGTATTCCTGAGCCTCCAGAACAGGAATGCATTTGCTTTTCAGCTTCTCCGGATTGCCACACTCAAAATTACCTGGGAGGGGGGAAAAGACACACTCAAACGCAGAGAAGAGGTGAAAAGGCCTGTAAACAGTGAGGGTCAAGCCGTCGGCTGAGGTCAGGAGCATGTGGCCCAGCAGCACTCAGCTCCCGTGCGGCATCCTTACTGCAGCAGGATCAAAAGCCACTTAGCTTGGATCGACTCCAGATCGTTAAAACCCGACCTGCAAAGCAGGGCAGCGATCTGCATTAAACAACTGAAGAGCTGCCCAATGCCAAAGTCTGTCTGCAGCTGATCCCTAGTGCGATCAGACGGAGAGCTGCGGAAGGTACCAGAGCGGCACTATAAATACACACAGCCTGGGAAAAAGAGAGGCAGGAGGCTGGCCGCCACAGCTCTGATCTGGACACACGCTGGACCCTGGAAGCCAAGCCCATTGTTACAGAGATCCTGGGGAAGGGCGTCCAGAAGAGACCCAGGGAAAATGAGGTGGCTAGGGTGCCAGCTGACAGGCCAAAGGCAGCGCCTCTAAGCACTCTGGAGGCCTGGGCTATGGGTCACTCTTGAGAAGCTCCCAGCAGACCTAAGGCCTGCTGTAGCTGCTGGCCCTCCCCCCAGGGCTTCCTGCCAGGCTCTGCAAGGGCAGCAGAGTATGAGACACATAGAAGGTATCTGACTTGTCCCCCAACACAGCTAAATCCTTCTTCCTCGATGCTGCTCTTGGCCCGGCGTTCTCTGAGGCCAGGGCAGCTTCTCTGTATCTCCTGTCATAATAGCCTTGCCCTGGCATGGCACCTCAATGGCCCCTGATTGGTTTCTTCTGTCCTCTTTCCACCCCAGAGCTTTGTCAATGAGGCTTGAAGATGATTCTGCTGCTATGACTCGGCATCACTGAGCTGCTGGGCGTTTGCCTTCCACTCTCACTCAGTATGTCACTTCCTAGCCCTCTGCCGGATGGACCAGGCTCCCGTGGCCTGGCACCCATACCTAACACCATTCCTCTTCTGCTGGCCTCTCCCTGCATGCGTACACCAGGCTGACCTGTGCTGGCACAGCACTTGACAGTTGTAACTATGTCACTGTGCTTCCTGGAGTGTGCGCATTGTCCGGAGACCACGGGCAGCCTACAAGGAGGACCCTGGCAGTCACTCTAAACCTTAACATGATCAAGGAGAAGGTGCAGTTTCATAGTTCCTACTGGCCTCATGAGACTTCAGCCCTTGTCTTGAAGGCAGCAGGTGCCAGGACCCTTGATGGCACAAGCCAGGACCAAATCTGGAGGTGGGATGGAGCACAGTGTGGAGAAGGGTGTCTCTACCTCCAGCTGCCCACAAACCCCCGTGGGCTACGCACAAGGACGAGACCTAGGGCCAGCCAGTGCCTCAGGTCAGGGGACTTCCAAGGCTGGTTCCTTCCAACCAACACAAGGCCCCAGGGCAGGATGGTGCAGAGTCTCTTAACTGCCAAGAGGGCTGTGTGTTTGTGGACCCAGGCCTGCACTGCACCCCCACAGGGCTGTAGACGGTCTGAGCGCCGGGTGGGAAGCCGAGGCCTGGCCGTGGTGGGCTGTCCTGGCCTGACTGAACAGGGGTCTGGCTGGCTACTCACCTGCTTGAATGGCCAGGAAGTTGTACAGCTCATGCAACAGCTCCAACAGGGCCGCCTTCTGCTTGGCCTGGCAGAACTGAAGCAGGGAGACCCGTCAGGGGGCTGTCTGTGTCTGCAGCCACGCTACATGTCCGTCTGGACAGCAAGGAACACCTCTTAAGTCTTAGGGGCTTGCTTCTTGTTTTCTGAGACAGTCTTATGCAGAACGGGCTAGGAGCTTTAATTCTGACCCTCCTGTCTCCACCTGAGTGCCACCATGCCTGTTTTGTGCATGCTAAGCAATCACTCTACCAACTAGGCCACATGCCCAGCCCCCGCCTCCTAGTTTTATATGGTGGAAATGTCTCTGTAGAGAGCTGGTGGGGAGAGAGGTGCTGGGGAATTGCCTCTGTGGAGGAAAGACAGTACAGTAACAGAGGGACTGCCACCCATGGCTCTAGCCCAGCTCTTTAGAGGGAAGAGCAAGGAATGGCACCATGGTCTCCAGAGACAGGAGGAGACAGAGCAGAATGTCAGCAACTACGGGAAGTATGAGGCCCTGCTTGAGAAAGGACTGCAGTGAGGACTCCGTGTGACCCCATATAAACCTCTTGCATGGGCTGGTTCCCAGAGGAAACAGGACAGCCAGCACTAGACGAGAGGATGGCCTGATCAAGAACACCCACTCCCAACTTCTCCCTGCATTCTCCACAACAGAAAGAGAAACATGGGATCAGAATCCTTTGCTGCTGAGAAGATTAACAACACTTATCTGATACTTAAATACCTGTCTGGATTTTGGGTGAAGTAAGGACACCCAAAGAAACCTCAGCAATAACCTCACTGGGGCCGGACAGTATGTTCTTGCCTGCGAGCTCCTGGGCTCACCTGCCACGAAGGCCAAGGGTGCTCACAGCAGCCAGAAAATGAATCTTGTGTGGATATGGCCCCACACTCTGCTGTTCCATCATGGATACGGGATCACTTAAAAATCCCAAAGCTCCAGCCAGCTGAAGGGGGCAGCTTGCCAGCTCTGCATGGTTCAGCAGGGACCTGCAGGGTGTCTGTCTCTCCGTCTGGGCTCCGTCTCATATCACATGACTGGCTCATAGGAAGGCCAGGAGCAGACATGTCCTTCACTTGGGGTCTAACATCTCTACAGACTGTGAAGGACCGAGACTGGAACTAAGAATGTTGTCTAACTAAACGGAAAACAGAACAGCAGAGGGGTCTCCTGGGAAGTTCTACTTGCTTGGTTTTGCGTCTGTTCTTCTCTTTGGCTGCCTGTTCCGAAGCATACTGTCTAGCCATCAACCCAGTTTTATGATGGAAATCAGATTAAACTTATTATGAGCCTGGTTTTGCAGAACAACTGGGAAGCAAAAATGCTTGGTGGATGAGAGCAATAAAGGAGGCTCATAAAACACCCGCAAACAGGACACATCAGAAGCCAAGGAAATAAAAGTGGGTATCTGCAGCAGGCTGCCCTTCATTAACAAGGGAAAGAGTCAATGCGAGGGTTCCATTTCTTTGCTAGCCCCCGGGCTGCGTGGCCTGGCACCCACACTTAATAATTAGAGTACTAAGTCACGCCTGCTGGCAGCACACGCCTCCTCCTGGTAGGATTTATGACATGAAATTTACCGCCTCATATCTTCCTCAGACTGTCACCAGAACCGGCTTCCTGACTGTGCATTAATGCTTTCACGTGATTCGTGGGCCGAGGGCCACTCACCTTCCCAGACATTATTTGTGGGGAATGCCAGGGCTTCATAAAACAAATCAAAACATCAGCCAAGTGGGCTAATTCCCCTCACCCTGTGCTTCAAACTGGCCCCTTGATGTGTCAAGTCAGAAATCAGAACATTGTCAGCGAAGGGTGCAAACCAGAGAAAAGGCAAGACTGAGTGAGAGATGCTGGAGCCCTGCTCCCGAAGGCAGCCGGCTGGACAGGTGCTCAGTAACCTCCAGCTCCCTGGACTGACTTAGGCAGAAGATCAGAGACCTCGGAAGCTCCCACTGTCAGAGGAGTTCGGTAACAAGCCCAGGGCTGGAGCTCAGGCACTCAGCCCTCCATATTTCAAATACTGCTGTGCTCCCAGAATTGAGTTTGACACAAACATCACAGAACAAGATGTGATTTTGGTACATTCTGGGAAGCTCTCCCTGAAAATGATCCTATCATGATCTGGGCAAGTCTACCTCTTGGCTTGAGTCCTCAGGAGGAATAACAAAAGGCAGAGAAAACTTACCTCATCTGTTTTTCTCTCACAGTCCACCGGCAATAATTTCACTGAGACCGAGAAAAGAAAAAGATTATGAGTGGGATTGAGGAAAATGCAACAAAGGCACTTCTCAAAACCCAGGGGAAGCACAACTTGCTGGCACAAAAGTAGACACTGGAAGACGCCACCTCACAGTGGCATAGATGGTGCGACAGTAAGAGCCCAGGGTCCCCCATGCTGGATCAGGACGGTGAAAGCTGAGGCTTCCTTCCAGCTGCAAACGAGCAGCCACAGGTTCTTGAGCCATTTAACCTGTTGGTACCTGTTTCTGTACCTGTCAAATGGGATCACAGGGGCTTTCCTAAAGGCAGTGTACACAGCTGTGATCCCCAGGACCCAGGAGGCTAAGGCAGGGGAATTACCACAAGTTTGAGGCCAGCCTGGGCTACAGAGAGATGCTGGCTTAAGGAACTACACGAGAGGCAGGAGAGGTAGCTCGGTGATGGAGGAGTACTGCCTGAGTCTGACCCCCAGCACCCACATGCTGCTCACAACCATCTGTATCTCCAGTCCCGGAGACTCCATCCCTCTCTCCTGGCTTCCTTCGGCACAGCACACTTGCAGTGCCGATGCAAATGTAGGCCAGCTACCCATTTGCACAAAGAACAAGCAACCGACCCAAACGGCCTTCCCTGCTTAACTCAGGGATCTCGGCTCAAACAAGACAACATACCAAAGAGTCTTAAGAACAACGTGTGTCCAGTAAGAACTACTTTCATGGAGGGAATCTTGGTTGTGTGTTCCCAAAGATCACGTTAAGCAGCAAGTAGCAACACTGAGCTATGATATCCCCTGAATGATTGCAGCAGCAGCAGTTGGGTGGCACTGAGCCCTGTCAATCTCCACCAGAAACTGCTCCCAGGGTGGATAAGCTGCTGGCGGTAGAGGTGTCTGTCACTTGGGCATCAGCATGGCCACAGACTTGCACACACCCCACCCCGCATTCTCTTGTCTCAAGACCTGAGCCTCTGGCTGAGCGTTTCCCCGTATTTCAGCTACTCCTGCTAATCCTGGCGAGATGTGGCCTTGACTCACAGCTGGCAACAGCATTAATCACGCTCACACTTGGAAAGAATACCAGCGCGTGGCTAAAGGAAGTGGCACTTAGTAGCTAAGTTTGTAACAAAACGATCTGGGCCTGGCGATCCAGGTCTGTGATTCCAGCTTTTGGGGAAGGTAAGGCAAGTTCAGAGGTTCAGGACCATCCTGAACTGCAGAGTGAGATCAAGGTTAGCCTAGTTAACTTCAAAATAGTTCTCAGAAGTTGGCTAGCAAGAGTGTAGCTTGGTAGTAGCATGTCTAACGTATAGAAGACCCTAAATATAATCCCTTATGCCAGAGGGGGAAAGGAGCACGAACCTGAGGTGTTTTTCTCTTCTGTTAGAACTAACAGTAACAGGCAGAACCCCCTTTGGGAGACATCAATCCTCAGCTTTTCAGGGCGCACCCCTCAGGGCTGGGGAGTCATATAACTGAGCGTGGGCAGAGATGTCTGGTAAGTTGCCTGACTCACAGGCCTTCTCGACGCAGCGCCCGGGGGTGCCAGCCTCTTGAGCACATCGGTCTCAGGTTAAGCTTTAAAAACTCTCCCACACCTGCGCCCCAGGCAAGGCCCGCATCCTTTTGACAAACGAAGGCCTGGTGGTCCGAAAGACCCGATCGTTTCGGTCTACAGAGCTGACACCACAACCAGGCACCCCTAGACGGCCGGGGAGAAACCTGGGGCCTTCGAAGCAGATGTCAAGTGTGAATGAGCAAGAAGTGAAAAGGAGGAAAAAAAAAAAAAAAAAAAAAAAAGAGCAACAGGGCCTGTCTGTCAAGAGCAGGCGTGCAGCTTTTTCTTCAAGAGGCAGTGGCCCAAAGGGAGACACTAGACGGGAGGGGAAGCAAAAAGCACATAAAGTGGAGGCACAGAGGACCGCAGAGGTTCGAAGGAGGAAGTGAGGGTGTGGAGGTGACAGGGCGCTCTGACAGGTGCCAGGCGGTCTGGAGGAACACCCGTGCCCTCCCCTGCGCCGGCCCAGGACGTACTGTTGTCCTCTGCCTCCTGCGGCGCCGAGGGCTTGCCCATCTTCACCCAGAGGATGCCCAGGAAGACGAGCAGCAGCCCCAGGCTGGCCCAGAGCAGGAGCCGGGACAGGCATCGCTCCAGCCGCCGGCCCGCCTCGGGTCGGGCCCGCACCGCGCCCTTCAGGCCCGGGCGCGCGTCGGCGCCGAGGAGCACGGAGGACGACCGCGCCGAGGCCGGGGACGGGCTCCAGTAGTGGCGGCCCGGGCCCAGGGCGGCCCTGGCGGGCGGCGGCCGGGCATCGTCGTCCTCCTCAGAGCTGGCCCGGCCCGAGGCGCGGCGGCGCAGAGGCCCGGGCTGGGAGGGGTAGGAAAGGCCGCGGCTTCCGGCCCAGTGGGAAGCGAAGGCCCCGGAGTCGCTGTAGGGCCGTGAGCGGTCGGCGGCCGAGCTCGAGGCCGGCGGGTACAGCGGGGGCTCCGGCGGCCGCGGCAACAACGCCGCGGCCGGGCGCGCGCGCAGCGGCGCTTCCTCGCGCAGCCGGGCCTCGTCCCGCAACCACTCGGGGCTCCGCGGCCGGGCCTCGTCCCGCAGCCGCTCGTCGTCGCGCAGCCGAGCCTCGTCCCGCAGGCGGCGCAGCTTGTTGCGGTAGACGTTCCGGGTGGTGTCGGTGATGGGGCCTGGCTGGAAGCCCAGGGCCTGCAGCTCCCGCCGCAGCTCCAGGTCCGACAGGCCGGCCATGGCCAGGACACCGCCCCCTCGCCCGCCCCCGGCGCGCACCGCACCCGGAACTGCTCCCGCCGGCAGCCGCGGCGGAGCGGGCGGGGCCGCGCGCCATGACGGGAAGGTCGCCTTCGGACGCCATGTTGGGAAGGGCGGGGCCTGGCGGAAGGTCCGCCATGATGAGAAGGTCTGGCGGGGCCTAGAGCCGCCATGTTGATGAGGTCCGAAGTGCTGGTTTTTTTCTGGTTTCTGTTTTTTTTATTTTACTTGGTTTTTTGGTGTGATTTCATCTCTTACCTCGCCCTCTAGTTTTCCTTTGTCTGTTAGACCTAGCGGTGTTTATTTCTGATCCAGCATAGTGCAAGCACGTGGTGGATACTCGATAAAGCCTCCGCCAACGGTGGATGTGGATCGTTAGCCTGTCTCGGGGTGGGCGCGGGGGCTGTGTGACTGGGCTTGATTTGGGTGGTAGTGTAAATGGCAGGCATGCTCTCCGAGGCCTTGACTTCTTGAGGCCAGCTTCAGACATGTACTTAGCTGACAATGCAACCTTTGGGGCTGGAGAGATGGCTCCGTGCCTAAGAGCATTTGCTGCTCTTGCAGAGGACCTAGGTTTGGGACCCAATACCTAAGTGGCCTCTCACAGCCATTGGTAAGTCCAGTTCCTGAGGATCTCATCCTCTTTTCTTGGTCTTTGCCGGCACCGCATGAACCTGGTGCACATCCATGGTTGAAACACTCATGCATAAAATTAAAATAAGTATATATATATTTTAAAGTGCAGATTTATCCTCAGTGGGCCAGAGGTTACCCAAAACCTGCCACGGAGACGGGATCCCTATTCCCTGGGCTCCCATGGGCATCCCTTTACCCTGGACTCTTTAGAGGACAGATCCCTATGCCCTGGACTGTTGTTTTTAACAAAATCTCAATCATTCAATTTTACCAATAAAGACTCAGGAGCCAGATGCCGGGTCAAAGAGGCAGAGAAAGCAGCCTGCTGACCTTCCCCACACTGCCTCAAAAACCCCCAACCTGAATGTCCCTCCCTTCTACTTCCTGTGCATCTTCTCTATCCCTCCTCCTGACTACCTCCTACTCTGTTTTTTCCCCCTATGTTCACTTCTTGTCATCTGGTTGTTTGCTCTGCCTCTTGACCTGTGCTTGACTTTATTTAATCCTGTTTACATCATTCAAGCAGAAAGCTCTTGGGTTAAAGGTGTGTGCTAGGGCAGAGCCACACCACAGGTTTTTTTTCCAGTAAGCTACACAATCTCGGGGTTCACAGTATGAGCAAATATCCTGCAGCACTGGGCTCCGTGGGCAGATGAGTCTGGTCAGAAGAGGCTTTTGTGGTGCTTGGTGGAATTCTCATGAGACCCCTGTGCCCTGTAGTCTTAGTTTAGGGGTGAACTGCAGAGCCTTGCAGTTTGATTTCCAATCTGCAGCCATTCAGCGTGATCATTTCCAATGACCGCTCCAGCCTGTCTCCCGGAACTCCCCAGGGGCTGCGGTGGGGATTAGAAGAGACTCTTAGGTCAGGCCTGGCACACCCCCCCTCACCCAAAACTTCACAGCTGTCGGGAGTGGGAACGAAGTGATTTGGTTTTGCAAAGGGTCTTACTGGGAGCCCCCAAGGGGAAACGGGAAGCCATGACAACTGGAAACAGACAGAGTTCGTGGCCGTACTCCCGCCACCCTCTTTCTCTTCCTTCCACATCCTTCATCACCCCATTTTCCTGGCAATAGTGCGGCTCTAGCCCTCATTCGGTTCTTTTCTTCTCAGGCCCCTCCTTGAGCTCTCCCTGCAGCTTTACCCATCGTCCATTGCTGCCTCCATGGCCCTCCCTGCTGTCTCTGGGACCCTGGGCCATGCTCCTCTGTCAGAGTTTCATCGTTTTCTGCTTGTTCTACCGCAGGAGAATTCAATGCTGGCCACATGGCTGGGAAAATTACAGCCTCAGCGCAGTCGGGCTTCTGTCGTTAGCCTCCGCTTCTCTCCGACTTAGCTGCTCCCATGTGGTGTGATTTCTCTCACCAAGTGTTGTTTTCCTTTTCCCTGCCTGTGTTTGCACGGAATGCCATGGATTTGATATAGTGATTGCCTAACACATATACCACATAATAGTATTTTCTTTCTTTCTGAAGCACTGTTTGCATGACAAATGACTCGGTAACATTTGTGCACCTTCTTGCAGCTGCGCAGCTCAGTCTATAAGGAACAAGCCTTTCTGTATCAGTACCTCAGTACCGGCCGAGCGCATTCAGAGACGGTTTGAAACCGATGCTTAAAGTGAGCGTTATGGTGCTTCACAGACTTGTGGTCTGTTTCCTCACAGTGGATCTGAGGTGCTTAAAAAATCTGGACAGGACTGCCCCCCACACCCCCAAAGTGATGGTACTGTAGGAAGCCACGGGGCTTCCTGTGCTAGCCTCTCCCAATCACACCTAGGGCCAAATGGCCCACAGCAAACCCTATGGCCTCCCTTTAGCCTGGAACTCTATGTCAGCCTCTAGCTACCTTGGCTGGCCCTCTGCCTCCATGGGTGGCTTCCAGCTTTGTCTTCTGGGTATCATGGTCCTAGGCCCCCAGCAGCAGCCACTTACACAGGATCTACCCCTCAGTTCCCCCTTTTCACCCCTCCAAAAGAACCTCAGGTCCCTCCTGCCTTTCTGAATCCCCATTTTTTTCTCAGTTCCCAGCCCTACTGCCCCTTCTGGGGATTTAGACCATGGTAGTCCTCCTCCATGGTTCTCCATCCCCAAGACTCTTGCTTGGTTTAGGAGATGCTGGGTTGTGGGCACACACATCCCCTGAAGGAGCTCAGCCTCTGTGCTCCCTAGCCCCCTCCCCCTTATCCTGTCAGAGCACACCCCGCCCCAGATACTCCAACTCTGTCTTCATCTTGCCCCCACCCCAAAGGGGGCTGCCTGGTACAGAAGGCATAGTTAACAACATGGAAGCCGCACATTCTCTGCCAGCTAGCTTTCCTTTTTCTCTACTACGTGTGTGTGTGTGTGTGTGTGTGTGTGTGTGTGTGTGTGTGTGGTGTATATGTATGTGGTATGTATGTGTGGTGTGTGTGGCGTGTGTGTGGTGTGTGTGTGTGTGTATGTGGTATGTGTGTGTACTGTGTGGTGTGTGGCGTGTGTGTGGCGTGTGTGTGTATGTGGTATGTGTGTGGCTGTGGTGACTAAACACACACTCAGAAGGCTGTCCTTCCT